CGGGCTCAGTAGTTGTGGCTCGAGGGCTCTAGAGCTCAGGCTCAGTAGTTGTGGCGCATGGGCTTAGTTGCTCCGCGGCATGTGGGATCTTCCCAGACCAGGGCTCGAACCCATGTCCCCTGCATTGGCAGGCGGATTCTTAACCACTGCACCACCAGGGAAGTCCCCACAAGTCTATTCTCTATGTCTGTGAGTTTGTCTGTTTTGTAGATAGGTTCATTTGTGTCTGTTTCCCATTTTTGATACACTGTCCTGAGGATGTTAAAAAGTCCTCTTTGGAACTTCCCTGGCTGTCCAGTGGTTAAGACTCTACTTCCAATACAGGGGATGTGGGTTCGATTCCTGGTTGGGTAACTAAGATTCCACATGCAGCGAGGCCCAAAAAAAAAAAAAAAGTCCTCTTTGTTTCCAAAGCATACCAAAATCATATGCCACTCCAAAGGCATACTAGCTGTGTAAATATTAACAAATTTTCCTTTTGCCAACCAACAGGCTCTTATTAGTGCTATTAATTCAGCCTGTTGGGTGGAATAGATATAAGGCAAGGGACCATTTTCAAAGATAGACACTGGAGAAACAATGGCATAGCCAGCCTGTTACCTTCCATGAGGTCCTTGTAGATATGAACCATCAGTGAGTAATATAAAATCAGAATTATCCATTGGGTTTTCTCGAAGGTCAATCCTAGGAGATAAAAGATTGTCAGTTAATAAAAATAGAGTTGCCATATAAGCCAGCAATCCCACTCGTGGGCATATATCTAGACAAAACTATAATTCAAAAAGATACACGCACCCCTATGTTCATAGCAGCACTATTTACAATAGCCAAGGCATGGAAACAACCTAAATGTCTATCGACAGATGACTAGATAAAGAAGATGTGGTATATACATACAATGGAATATTACTCAGCCATAAAAAAGAATGAAATAATGCCATTTGCAGCAACATGGATGGCCCTAGAGATTATCATACTAAGTGAAGTAAGCCAGAAAGAGAAAGACAAATACCATACGATATCACTTATATGTGGAATCTAAAATACGACACAGGGAATTCCCTGGAGCTCCAGTGGTTAGGATTCCATGCTCTCACTGCCGAGGGCCCGGGTTCAATCCCTGGTCAGGGAACTAAGATCCCACAAGCCTCGTGGTGCAGCCAAAAATAAAATAAAGTAAAATACAACACAAATGAACTCATCTACGAAACAGAAACAGAATCACAGACATAGAGAACAGACTTGTGGCTGCCAAGGGAAGTGGGTGGAGGTGGGAAGGAGTGGGAGTTTGGGGTTAGCAGATGCAAACTATTATATATAGGATGCATAAGCAAGGTCCTACTGTCTAGCACAGGGAACTATATTCAATATCCTGTGATAAACCATAATGGAAGAGAATATGAAGAAGAGTGTATATATACTTATAACCGAATCACTTTGCTGTACAGCAGAAATTAACAACTCTACTTCAATAAAAATAATAATAACAATAAAATAGAGTAGCCAATTCACCATCTATGCCTTCTAAAAAGGCAGAGTTAAGTAGAGGAACATTTTGGTGGTTAGAGAATGAGTCAGGTGTCACGCCTGAATATTGTTTTGAAGTTTTTCTCGAAGCCCTCATAGTAATCCGCGATTGATTCCTCTGGTCTTTGTCTACATTGCTGAATCTTTGCCCAGTCTAAGGCTTTGGGGAAAAGCCCTGGGATAAGTCTGAGTAGTTTACCAGCCAACTGCTTGCATTCAGCTCCAGTCTGCGGGCTACGTAGATGGAAATTCTCTAAGGGCGTCTTTCAGCTTGCTTTCTCTATCCACTCCTGTGCTTTACTTTTGGAAACTAACAGCTATATTAATTGATATAGATCTGCAAAGCTGGGCTCATAGGTTCGGATGGTTAACTCAAACTCCTTAGCAAATCCCGGTGGATCTTGACTAGGTTTGGGAAATTCCTTAGCTAAAGCTCTAAGTTCTGCTCTGGTCCAAGGGTGTGTGCCTGAGCACCAATGACAGTTCATCTCTCCCTGTAACAGGTTTCTCCATAAAGGGAGCTATGATTGCTTCTGATTTTCTGTCTTCCTTTGCTGGGAAAGGGGAAGCAGCAGGAGGCGAGGTTGATGGGGGAGAGAGAGACGAGAGAGAGAGAGAGAGAGAGAGAGAGAGAGCCTCGGGATCAGGCAATTCAGATAATAGAGGAAGAGACAGTTAAGGCTAGTGGCTTTTTAAATTCCAAGATACACCTCAGCTATCTGGGGCCAGTATCCTGGGCTTTCTCATCCTGAGTGTCCTCAGGGTGCATCATTGGAGGGTGGGGGGTGGCTGCAGAGGCTGACAGCTTGCTGGGGGACATCCTGTCTCCACCTTGAGTTCCCTTGGGGCTCCCCTTCAGGGGTGGCTGTCATGTGATGGCTGCAACGTCCTTTGTTTACTGATAGGGAAGGCAGCATTTTAATTTTTTTTATTTTTATTTATTTTTTGGCTGCCCCGCAGGGCTTTGGGATCTTAGATCCCCGAACAGGAATTGAACCCGGGCCCCCCAGCAGTGAAAGCACCGAGTCCTAACCACTGGACCACCAGGGAATTCCCGGCAAGTAGCATTTTTAATTCACAAAGAGTTCAAAACAAGACCTCCTGCCAACCAGAAAACCTCTCACAAATGTAGAAAAGAAAGAAAACAGATATAGAGTCATAGGTGTAGAAAACAAACTTACGGTTACCAGCGGGGAAAAGGGGGGAGGGATAAATTGGGAGATTGGGATTGACATACACACACTATTATATATAAAACAGATAACTAATAAGGACCTACTGTATAGCACAGGGAACTCTGATCAATATTCTGCAATGACCTATATGGAAAAAGAATCTAAAAAAGAGTGGATAAATGTATAACTTATTCACTTTGCTGTAGAGCAGAAACTAACACAGCATTGTGAATCAACTACACTCCAATAAAAATTAAAAAAAACTTTTATTATTGATAGCACTAAGCCAAAATGTGAGGCACATCGCAGGCAATCTGCTAAGAGGTTGCAAAAACAGAAAAACATTTCGTCCCCTTTTGGAGCTAAATGGATGCAACTCATGAATACCTATTCTCAAGATAAGCCATAACCAGTCCTCAGGTGAGAGACCCCGACAGCATCGGTCATGCTTAGTTCAAATTCACTCCTCCTGGTAATTGGGTGACCGTCTGTGTTAGTTAACTGACTTTATTCAAAGGCAAACCCCACTTTTACCTTTAGGACAGGAGGGAGTTTTGCACAGAGGGGCACGGGCTCCCCTGGCAACTGCATTTCAGGGAGAAGGCTCTCAGGTCCTCCCGAAAGACTCCCGGGTGGTAAAGCTGGCAAGAGGCTTATTTAGTTTTTTAAAAGGTTTATTTACATTTCAAAGGACAGAGAAAGAATTTATCCCACCACACGTTCTCTAAAGAAAATGCTCTACCAAAAGGAGAAGGGATAAATCTCTTTCCTTATTTTCAACAGGGAGAGTTAGGGCTCTTGTTACATCTGTAAAAAACAAAAACAAAAACAATGATTAAGTTTCAAGGGACCGGAATGAAAGATTTTAGAATCTCTTCCAAACCAAGATTGGAATCAAAACTGGGAGGGACGGAGCCTGTGCTCCGCAACGGGAGAGGCCACAACAGTGAGAGGTCTGCGTACCGCAAAAAAAAAAACAAAAACAAAAACAAATATACTGGGAGGGGGTGACCTAATATGGTGAAGGAAATATTGGAAAACTGGATATTGTTTCATGCTTAAAATCGCCTTTGAAATATTATGGAGAAGTACAATACGCGGCACTCAGAAAAGAATGCACTAAATGTTGTACGCTACGTTTAATCATTTTAAGTTAAAAAAATCGTGCTCAGATTGTGAATGAAAAATGTTGCCTGCCATATCCGCAGACAAAGGGTGCTGTGGCCATAAAGCCATCAGCCACTACCAGCCCTACCCCGCCGCCCCCAAGCCCCAGCAGTGAGCCAGGACGGAACTCAGGATGGAGACAAAGGGGCTGCTGCCCGCCAAGTCCTCGGTCAATGCAGCCACCCCCCAAAACGGTGCACCCTGGGGGCGGGGGGGGGTGGGGGACTCAGGATTAGAAAGAACAAGATACTGGTCCTAGACAGTCAAGGTGCACAGCAAAGGAATGATTTCAATGAGCCCAGACTCCTGCATCTTCACATACCCAGAAAAGTGCTAAATTCATTAACTTGAGATGTTTGGTTTTTTTTTTTTTTTTTTTTTCCTTTTATTTTTTTTTTTTTTTGTATTTTGCCCACACCGAGTGGCATGCGGGATGCTTCCCGGACCGGGGATCGAACCCAGGCCTTTGCAGTGAAAAGTCCAAATCGTAATCACTAGGCCACCAGGGAACTCCCTGGTTTTCTTTAATTAACAGTAATCTTTTTGCTGTTCCAACTACTTGGGTTTTGTTGCAAAACTTCTCTGTACCCTGGTTCCTCCCTTACCTCTTTGGAGCAGTCCCTCAGAGCGATCTGAGAAGCTGTCTTCTGGACTTGAGTCCTCAGAACATCTGCCAAATAAAACATAATTCTCAAAATTTAGGTTGTGCTTTTTTTTTTTCACTCGCTAAGCTTAAGGAATAAATAATAAACGGGGACCGTAGACTGGGCACCCACACTTATGAACAGACTAAGGCAGCTCCTGGTCTTTTGAGGGTGCCCCACTCTGACTGCTACTCCCCCAGCCCCCAGCGGTCACCACCACCCTGAATTTTGTGGTAATTCTTCATAACTTGTATCATCTATTATTTATTACTAAGCAGGGTTGGGTGTAATTCTGCTGCCTTTGAAATTTCAGAAACTATTCCTGGAATTACCCTGAAAAGCTTTTCCTGTGGTGTGTATGTGTCTATGTGTTCTTACCAGGCTCTGTTCAACCGAGTGTGTGCAGTTTCTTTTCTTTTTAAAAAAATTAATTAATTAATTTTATTTTTGGCTGCGTTGGGTCTTTGTAGCTGCGCCCGGGCTTTCTCTAGTTGCGCCAAGCGGGGGGCTACTCTTCCTTGTGGTGCACAGGCTTCTCATTGCGGTGGCTTCTCTTGTTGCGGAGCACGGGCTGTAGATGCACGGGCTTCAGTAGTTGTGGCACACGGGCTCAGTAGTTGTGGCACGCGGGCTTCAGTAGTTGTGGCGCCCGGGCTTAGCTGCTCCGCAGCATGTGGGATCTTCCCGGACCAGGGCTCGAACCCGTGTCCCCTGCATTGGCAAGCAGAGTCTCAACCACTGCACCACCAGGGAAGTCCCTGTGTACAGTTTCTTAAGCTCAGCGAGTGTTTCCCTCGGAGAAAACTGCACCCAAACAAATGTGAAGTTCATGTTATGCTCAATTCACTCCCTTATATGGAAATCATCTTGTAACCCATCTGTGCTCAAAACGCAGGTGTTCAGGCAGCCCTGACAGTGCCTGTCCTGGACTAAGAATGTTGCCTGCCCCATCAGTAAATAAAGGATGTTGGGCCTGGACAACCAGCAGCCCCTGCAGCCGCCCTCAGCGGTGCACCTTGGGGCGATTCAGGATGGAGAAAAGCAGGATACTGGCCCTAGATGGTTAAGGTGCATAGGAAAGGAATTATTTCAATCAGCCCAGACTAAAACAGAATAGAGGGACTTCCCTGGTGGTCCAGTGGGTAAGACTCCGCGCTCCCAAGACAGGAGGCCCGGGTTCGATCCCTGGTCGGGGAACTAGATCCCGCGTGCCACAAATAAGAGTTCGCATGCCGCAGTGAAGACCCAGCACAGCCAAAATTAAAACACGCACACACATACACAGGCACACACACACACACACACACACACACACACACACACACACAAAACAAGTACTGTATTGCAAAACTAGCATAGAGTATTAAAAGAAAAAAGAATAAAATAACAGGGACCTACTCTATAGCACAGGAACTATGCTAAATATCTTGTAATAACCTATAATGGAAAAGAATCTGAAAAAGAATATAGATATAGATATATATGTATAACTTTTGCTGTACACCTGAAACTAACACAACACTGTAAATCAGCTATACTTAAATTAATAAAGTTCAAAAAATAAAAATAAGCCCAGACTCCACATCTTCCCTTACCTAGAAAAGCGCTAAATTCACTAACTTATAAGATGTCTGGTTTCCTTTAATTAGCTGTTCTGACTACCTGGGGATTTTTTTGTTTTGCAAAAACTCATATGGGACTTCCCTGGTGGTCCAGTGGTTTAGACTCCGCCCTCCCAATGCAGGGGGCCAGGGTTCCATCCCTGGTCGGGGAACTAGATCCCACATGCATGCCACAATTAAGAGTCTGCCTGCCACAACTAAGGAGCCCGTCTGCTGCAACTAAGACCCAGCGCAACCAGATAAATAAACTACATAAAATTTAAAAAAAAACTCATATATATTCTGGCCCCTCCGTTATCTCTTTGGAGCAGTCCCTCAAACCTAACTGAAAGGCGTAATTCTCAACTTTTAGGTTGTGCATTCCTTCTCAATTGACAGTGCGTATTTACTATTTATATCTAAGTCAAAATTGAAGGCAATGTTCACATCCCTAAATACTTCCAATTAGTTTTCCCCAACAAACTAATACATCTAGTAATCAAGACAGTGTTGTATTGCCATAAAGATAGTTGAATTGGGCTTCCCTGGTGGCGCAGTGGTTGGGAAGCCGCCTGCCAATGCAGGGGACATGGGTTCGAGCCCTGGTCCAGGAAGATCCCACATGCGTGGAACAACTAAGCCCACGCGCCACAACTACTGAGCCTGTGCTCTAGAGCCTGCAAGCCACAACTACTGAGCCCGCGTCCCACAACTACTGAAGCCCGCGCATCTAGAGTCCGTGCTCTGCAACAAGAGAAGCCACCGAAATGGGAAGACCACACACCGCAACAAGGAGTAGCCCCCGCTCGCCACAACTAGAGAAAGCCCAAGCACAGCAATGAAGACCCAATGCAGCCAAAAATAAATAAATTTATTTAAAAATTTTTTTAAAAAGATAGTTGAATTGATGGATGAAATGGAATTTAAAAATCCAGTGGTAGACCCTACATATATGTTCAATTAATTTTGCCAAAAGGCAATACAAGGTAGAAATTGTTCTGCAACACCTGGAAATCCATACATAAATAAATTCTAATCCCAATTTCACACTATAAACAAAAATTATTTTGAGATGAATTATAGATCAAAATGTAAGTGCTAAAGTACAAAGCTTTTTATTTATTGAAGTATAGTTGGTTTACAATGTTGTGATAGTTTCTGGTGTACAGCAAAGTGATTCAGTTATACATGTATCTGTCTATCTATCTATACGTGTATATATTCTTTTTCAGATTCTTTTCCATTATAGAGTATTACAAGATATTAAATATAGTTCCCTGTGCTATACAGTAGGACTTTGTTTTTTATTTATTTTATATATAGTAGTATCTGTTAATCCCAAACTCCTAATTAATCTCTCCCCACCTTCCCCTCTGATAACCATGTTTGTTTTCTATGTCTGTGAGTCTGTTTCTGTTTTGTAAATAAGTTCATTTCTGGCTTACTTAGTATGATCATCTCTAGGTCCATCCACGTTGCTGCAAATGGCATTATTTCATTTTTTTATGGCTGAGTAATATTCCATTGTGTGTGTGTGTGTGTGTGTGTGTGTACCACATCTTCTTTATCCATTCATCTGTTGATGGACACGTAGGTTGCTTCCATGTCTTGGCTACTGTAAATAATAGTGCTGCTATGAACATAGGTGTACATGTATCTTTTTATTTTAATACATCTTTACTGGAGCATAATTGCTTCACAATACTGTGTTAGTTTCTGTTGCACAACAAAGCAAATCAGCCATATGCATACACATGTCCCCATAGCCCCTCCCTCTTGAGCCTCTCTGCCATCCTCCCTAACCCACCCCTCTAGATCATCGCAAAGCACAGAGCCGATCTCCCTGTGCTATGCTGCTGCTTCCCACTAGCTATCTATTTTACATTCAGTAGTGTATATATGTCGATGCTACTCTCACTTCGCCCCAGCTTTGCCCTCCCACCCCATGTCCTCAAGTCCATTCTCTATGTCTACCTCTTTATTCCTGCTGTGCCACTAGGTACATCAGTACCAATTTTTTCCCCCTAGATTCCATATATATGCGTTACCATATGGTATTTGTTTTTCTCTTTCTGACTGACTTCACTCTGTATGACAGACTCTAGGTCCATCCACCTCACTACAAATGACTAAATTTCTTTTCTTTGTATGGCTAAGTAATATTCCATTGTATATATGTGCCACATCTTCTTTATCCATGCATCTGTTGATGGACACTTATGTTGCTTCCATCTGCTGGCTATTGTAAATAGAGCTGCAATGAACATTGTGGTACATGTCTCTTTCTGAATTATGGTTTTCTCAGGGTATATGCCCAGTAGTGGGATTGCTGGGTCACATGGTAGTTCTATTTTTAGTTTTTTAAGGAACCTCCATACTGTTCTCCATAGTGGCTGTATCAATTTACATTCCCATCAACAGTGCAAGAGGGTTCCCTTCTCACCACATCCTTTCCAGCATTTACTATTTCGAGATTTTTGGATAATGGCCATTCTGACCAGTGTGAGGTGATAACTCATCGTAGTTTTGATTTGCATTTCTCTAGTAATAAGTGATGTTGAGCATCTTTTCATGTGCCTCTTGGCCATTTGTATGTCTTCCTTGGTGAAATGTCAATTTAGGTCTTCTGCCTTTTTTTTTTTTTTTTTTTTTTGCGGTACGTGGGCCTCTCACTGTTGTGGCCTCTCCTGTTGCAGAGCACAGGCTCCAAACGCACAGGCTCAGTGGCCATGGCTCACGGGCCCAGCCGCTCTGCGACATGTGGGATCCTCCCGGGCCGGGGAACGAACCCGTGTCCCCTGCATCGGCAGGTGGACTCTCAACCACTGTGCCACTAGGGAAGCCCCCACCCATTTTTTAACTGGATTGTTTGTTTTTTTGATATTGAGCTCCATGAGCTGTTTGTATATTTTGGAAATTGATCCTTTGTCTGTTGTTTCATTTGCAAATATTTTCTCCCATTCTGAGGGTTGTCTTTTTGTCTTGTTTATGGTTTCCTTTGCTGTGCAAAAGGTTTTAAGTCCCATTTGTTTATTTTTGTTTTTATTTCCACTACTTTAGGAGGTGGGTCAAAAAAGATCTTGCTGTGGTTTACGTCAAAGAGTGTTTTTCCAATATTTTCCTCTAAGAGTTTTATAGTGTCTGGTCTTACATTTAAGTCTTTAATCCATTTCGAGTTTATTTTTGTGTATGGTGTTAGGTAGTGTTCTAATTTCATTCTTTTACATGTAGCTGTCCAGTTTCCCCAGCACCACTTATTGAAGAGGCTGTCTTTTCTCCATTGTATGTTCTTGACTCCTTTGTCATAAATTAGGTGCCCATATATGCGTGGGTTTATCTCTGGCATTCTAACCTGTACCATTGATCTATATTTCTGTTTCTGTGCCAGTACCATACTGTCTTAATCACTGTAGCCTTGTGGTATAGTTTGAAGTCAGGGAGCCTGATTCCTCCAACTCCGTTTTTCTTTCTCAAGATTGCTTTGGCTATTCAGGGTCTTTTGTGTTTCCATACGAATTGTAAGATTTTTGTTCTAATTCTGTGAAGAATGCCATTGGTAGTTTGATAGGGATTGCATTGAATCTGTAGATTGCTTTGGGTAGTATAGTCATTTTCACAATATTGATTCTTCCAATCCAAGAACATGGTATATTTCCCCATTTGTTTATGTCATCTTTGATTTCCTTCATCAGTGTATTATAGTTTTCTGAGTATGAGTCTTTCACCTCCTTAGGCAGGTTTATTCCTAGGTATTTTATTCTTTCTCTTGCGATGGTAAATGGGAGTGTTTCCTTAATTTCTCTTCCTGATTTTTCATTGTTGGTGTATAGGAATGCCAGAGATTTCTGTGCATTAATTTTGTATCCTGCAACCTTACCAAATTCATTGATTA